CCAATATCCATTTCCAATGTTTTCCATCACCCTTAACAGAAATTCACTGCCCCCTCCCCCTACCTCTGGCAACCACTAATAAACTTTGATCTCTACACATACGCCTATTCTAAATATTTCATATAAGTGGGATCATACAATAGCTGTCCTTTCGTGACTGACTGAATTTCACTCGAATAATGTTTTTAAGGTTCATCCACGTTGTAGCATATACCAGAACTTCATTTCTCTTTGTGGCTGAATAATATTCCCTTTATGTATATACCAAGGAGCCCTGGTGGCACAGTGGTTAAGTGCTCAGCTTCTAACTGAAAGGTCACTGGTTTGAACCCACCAGCCACTCCATGGGAGAAGGATGTAGGAATCTGCTTCTGTAAAGATCACAGCCTTGGAAACTCTATAGGGTAGTTCTACTCTGTCCTACAGGGTCACTATGAGTCAGAATCAACTCAATGGCACACAACTACAAACATGTATTACACCACATTTTGTTTATCCATTCATCTGTTGATGGACACTTGGGTCGTTTCCACCTTTTGGCTATTGTGAATAGTGCAGCAACGAGTATTGGTGTGCAACTATCTGTGTTCTTTCTTTCTTATGACTCACCCAAATCAGTGAGAGTCAAGATTTGTTGTGTCTGAAATCTATACTACTTCATGCTTTTTCTAAATATACTACAATGCTCTAAACAAAATTTTTGCAAGTTTAAGGCTTAAATTTATAAAAAAAACCAAAACAAACAGATTAGACTGACATTATGTTTCTAATTTCCTAATTGGCAAATTCTATAACCTCATTTAATTTTTAAAAACTATTTCCACTTGCAACTGAAGACATTAACATCCACATACCTTTGAAAGCAGCTGACAGTTTTAACAACAGCAGTTGATATTTATTACGCTTGCACTCAGTACTGTGCTAGGCACTTTATATTTTATTTAATTCTAGTAACTCTACAAGTAGGTAGTACTCATTTTATAAATGATGGAAACTGAGGCTAATACAAATTAAGCAACAACTCTCTATAAGCAGAAGATGATTGAACCAGGAATCGATTCCAGTCCTGTTTGATGCTGATCTATGTGCCACAGCCTTTGAAGTATTCTAAATTTCTTGAAATCATTATCTTTTGTAATCATGTAGTTAGAGTAATACTCCAATAATTTTGCTCAAATAAAAAATTACAAAGCCCTGGGAGGCAAACAGAATGAAGATACAAACAGCAACTAAACCCATGGTGCAGCCAATGTGCAGTCTTGCATGTAGCACCCGAGGATCTCTTTAGCTACATCCACGTAGGAGGGAAGCAACAGCACCAGAAACATGGAACAGGAGGGCCTTCAATTTCCGATCGTGACTTGTACGGAAATAGCACTTTAATAAGCAACAGATCAACACTGCTAAATAGCTTTTTCTGTGTGATGGTTTCACATACTCTTGTACATGCCCTGATTTTCTTTCAAACTATTGCCTCCTGGTGCTGCCTGCTTGTCAACAGTTCAACTCTGGCAACATCACCATCTTTTAGGTTATTTTATTATTACATTATGTTTTCCTTTTACAAAAGTGACTGAGAAAGCAGAAATGAAAGTTGTCATTATACATTAAGGATAGGCCTGAAAATAACACGTCAGCCAACAACAGAAATCATAGAAGTTCCAAAACTGTATTTAGCCTCAACTGGACTTGGGCCAGTTGACTGGATGTCCATGTATGAAGAAAAATAATAAAATTGAAGAACAAGTACAAAGCACTGGAATTATATCACCAATTATTGGATCTAGATGGTGGGGTATAATTAAGAATTTTAATGTCTGTTTATAAAACACCCTTTTATAGCATGTTAGTCAACTGTTCAACTTGCACACAAGTTTTGGAAAACAAAGCAATGGAAGCTTTTCCACCCTCTGCCGGGGAGGCCTTTATGGTAAGAACTGAACTAAAGGAAAAAGAAAATACAACCAAATTGAGCTCTTCTGTGTCATGAATTGCAAAAAGAAAAATTACTTTGAAAAATAGGAAAAACTTCATTACTGTCCATCCAAAAGTTTCAATGGAATCTAAGTTTTCTTCCTTACATTTATAATTGGTTTTAATTGTTTACTACAGATATCTACCCCCATGCATCTGTCAGTTTGTCATACTGTGAGGGCTTGTGTGTTACTGTGATGCTGGAAGCTATGCCACGAGTATTCAAGTAGCAGTAGGCTCAGCTGAGCTTCCAGATTAAGACAGACTATGAAGAAGGACCCGGCAGTCTACTTCTGAAAAGAATTAGCCAGTGAAAACCTTATGAATAGCAATGGAACAATGTCTGATATAGTGCCAGAAGATGAGCACCTCACGTTGAAAGGCACTCAAAATACGACTAGGGAAGAGCTGCCTCCTCAAAGTAGAGTCAACCTTAATGATGTGGATGGAGTCAAACTTTCAGGACCTTCATTTGCTGGTGTGGCATGACTCAAAATGAGGGTAGCTGTAAACATCCATTAATAATCGGAACATGGAATGTATGAAGTATGAATCTAGGAAAACTGGAAATCGTCAAAAATGAAATGGAACACATAAACATCAATATCCTAGGCATTAGTGAGCTGAAATGGACTGGTACCGGCCATTCTGAATCGGATAATCATATGGCATATTATGCATCTCAGCGCAGGAACCTCAAGTCCAAAGGACGCGCTCTGCTCCTGATGCTGCTTTCTTGGTGGTATGAGGTCCCCATGTCTCTCTGCTCACTTCTCTCTTTTATATCTCAAAAGAGATTGGCTTAAGACACTATTTAATCTTGTAGAGTTCATCAATACAACTGCTGCTAATCCATCTTATTACAACATAGTGATAAGAGTTTACAACACACAGGGAAATCACATCAGATGATAAAATGGTAGACAATCATACAATAGTGGGAATCATGACCTAGCCAAGTTGACAGATATTTTTGGGGGACACAATTCAATCCATGACAAATAGGAATTCCAGAACGCTTGTGCTCATGATGAACCTGTACATAGATCAAGAGGTAGTCGTTCGAACAGAACATGGGGATACTGTGTGGTTTAAAGTCAAGAAACGTGTACGTCAGGGTTGTATCTTTTCATCATTACCTATTCATTATGTATGTTGAGCAAATAATCTGAGAAGCTGGACTATATGAAGATGAACACGGCATCAGGATTGGAGGAAGACTCATTAACAACCTGCAATATGCATATGACACAACCTTGCTTGCTGAAAGTGAAGAGGACTTGAAGCACTTACTGAAGATCAAAGACTACAGCCTTCAGTATGGATTACACCTCAACATAAAGAAAACAAAAATCCTCACAACTGGACCGATAAGCAACGTCATGATAAAGAGAAAAGATTGAAGTTGTCAAGGATTTCATTTTACTTGGAAAATCAACACCCATGGAAGCAGCAGTCAGGAAATCAGAAGATGCATTGCATTGGGCAAATCTGCTGCAAAAGACCTCTTTAAAGTGTTGCAAAGCAAAGATGTCACCTTGAAGACTAAGATGCACCTGGCCCAAGCCATGGTGTTTTCAATTGCCTCATATGCATGTGAAAGCTGGACAATGAATAAGGAAGACTGAAGAACTGACAACTTTGAATTGTGGTGTTGGCGAAGAATATTGAATATACCATGGACTGCCAAAAGAACGAACAAATCTGTCTTGGAAGTACAACCAGAACACTCCTTAGAAGCATGGATGGCGAGACTACATTTCACATACTTTAGACATGTTATCAGGAGGGATCATTCCCTGCAGAAGGACATCATGCTGGGTAAAGTAGAGGGCCAGCAAAAAAGAGGAAGACCCTCAATGAGATGGTTTCAGACAGCGGCTGCAACAATGAGCTCAAGCACAGCAACAACTGTGAGGATGGCACAGGACTGGGTAGTGTTTTGTTCTGTTGTACACAGAGTTGCTGAGTGGGAACCAACTCGACAGCACCTAACAAAACCACCAGATATCTATGAATAAAAAAGTATCAAAAAGTTAATCAGAAGCTTTTGATCATGATCTTTGTAATTCCTAATAGCATTTCCCCTATATATTATTAACGTTCATCCGTAAGAGATTTGAAATAGAACATGGCATCAAGGTTGTTTTTGTCTCCAGAAATAGGATTTTAGGTATGGGAGCTGAGTTAGGAGACATACCAAATTATGCCCTAATATGCCCAACTTTAAGCCCTGACAATTATTATAAAAGAATACTAGGTTCTACATTTCACATCTAGAAGTCTAAGAAATTCTAAATTCAACCTCAAGACCACTCATGGGAATAGAACAAACAAGCTCCTTTTGTAGACCTGACCAGGAACGTACCCGTTGATGTCCAGTCGATTCTGACTCACAGCAACCCTGTAGGACAGAGTAGAACTGCCCCATAGGGTTTCCAAGAAGCAGCTGGTGGATTCGAACCGCTGAACTTTTGGTTAGCAGCTGAGCTCCTTCTTAACCACTGAGCCACTAGGGCTCCAACCAGGAACACAGCTGTGAGTAAAAAAGTAATTGCTCTAGATCAAGTTCACGTAACTGTATCTGAGTCCCCTACCCATGGATCCATTTAAATTTTGCCCCTCCACCCCCAATCCCAGGGAACATTTGGCAACGTCTGCAGACATTTTTTTGGTTATCATAACTGGGCAGGGGGTTTGTTACTGACATTGAGTAGGTAGACACCAGGAATGATACTAAACATCCTACAATGCACAGGAAGCCCACCACAACAAAGAATCATCCAGCTCAAAATGTAAATAGTGCGGAGGCTGAGAAACTTGAGTTATATGCAGTAAGAATTCTGGGGTACTGGTGAGGTAGGAAACAAGTTATGAAAGACAATGGATATGGTCGATGCCCTGATCGAGGTTTTTCTTTTAAAGAGTCCACAAAATAATTGTATTTAAATACTTTTATTTCACAAAAAGAGAAAAAAAAAGAAACAGTATTTGCAGTTACACATGCCTTTCAGTCAGTGCTGGTCATATGCAAAACAAGTCATCAGAAATATAAAGAAAAATAAGCCTTTTCCCTTATTGAAACAACACAGTTACATATACAGTATTTTAGATACATATATATTCTATTTTCAAAGTCTTCCACAAAAGACAGATTATGATACAACTTTAGAATTCCACCCACAAGCTCAGACTTGGAATTGAAGATCTTTATAGGTGTTTAAATACGAAAATGTAATACCGTTTTACAAGTTCCCAAGTAATTACTTTAAGTATTTGAAATCTACCATTCTTCACAGCAATATGGAACACTTGGCTTTAATCAAGAGAGCTGTAAGCCTAAGTCTTGTCTCAATATGAGTTTGCTGATTAATGCAAATGCTCCAATTATGTTGTAATTCTCATTTCATATACACAGACACACACGAGTGTATTACTGTACTGGTGGTTTCTAACCATTTCAATTTCTGAAGCATTTCATTCAGCTAAGCCATGACCTTTACTTGCTTTGAAGTATTTCAAATTAAGAACCATACAGAAATATCACTAATGACTACCATGACTAACTCCAAAAAGGTGCTCCCTCTCTTTTATTTATGATCAAAGTTAAATGTGTCATGAATAAACTTTTATTTTTTTTCTATAGCAGCAAGTATAAACAACAGCAAAGTATAGGCTAATTTTTCATCACTAGAACCTGAGAATTTGATATGGTAAATAACATCTGCAAATTTTCTAGGAGTCATATCACTCAATGTTTGTTAAAAAAATATGGCAAATCTTCGGCATGGAGTAGCATCACTATAAATGTCAAAACAGATAATGCTAAGATGCTTGAAAGAAGAAAAGAGGGAAAAAAGGAAGGAAGAAAAGAAAGGATCTTTACACATGCATTTTCTTTAATATAGACAATATGGTGTTATAACATTTACCATATGGTGGATGAAGAGACCATACAAGAAATAAGATACAAGAACACTGAAAGCAAACGTGCAGGTCTGGATGCATGAAATGCATACAAAAACATGCACCTAATGAGGCAGTGTTGGCTTACATTTCTGAGTGCAACTGAAGCTAGCATCTAACATCCGGGCACTGAAGACAACAAGGAAAAAGGAACAGGAATGACTGGTTAATGGAGAACGGAGGAGAGAGACACAGCCACACAAAAGAGTCTGGGTAGGAAAGGGCCAAACTTGCCCTGCCACACATGGGTGTTGAAAGGTAGAAAGGGCTGCCCCCACAACTGTCTCGATTAGTTTTTGGGCCCATATTGTCATTCACTGGAACCATGGCAATAACTCAAAAGGCTCATCCCAATAATCAAAAGAACTTCCACCAGGTATGCATCAATATGCTACTGCAAGAACTACAACAGACTTTTGTACACAAATCAGAATTCCAGGTCTCAGAAAGGAGCTACTCTCAAGGGTCTTCAAATGAGTTCTAGGCAGCACTTTTATTTTATAGGCCCGTGGTTGGCTTTACTGGCTTAGCAGTTACTGAAAGACGAATCAGTAATGAACTTTAAACACACTTTTACTAAGTACTGCTCTCTTGCCTTTCTGGAATTTCCGAAGTACAGGTCCTTTCTCACCATCTCATTCAGTTTGAATCAGTACAAGAAATGCTGGATCTGATTAGCTTTCACACCTCAGTCATATAAGCTGTCTTCCCCCATCCAAATAGTCCCTCATCTTATTTGCTATATGCCTTTTGCCATTAGTTACACCATCACACAGCTAATCTTTAAGCCAGATGGCAGGGATTGAGTGGGACTTTATTTTTAAGTATCTTCAGAGCCCTGCAAAGGACCAAGTACTAAAAGGAAATAATGATAAAAAGAATCAAATTATCTGAGTATATACATATTTACATTTTAAAAGGTATCTATCCTACAGAATAAAACAAAATAACCAAAGAACAACTATAATACTAGCTACTGCTAAGTGAGGAAATATGTGGGAAAGGAGGAAGTGATCTCATATTATGAAACTCAAATTTTCATTAGGTCCCTACATAGCCATGCAAAGGACTAAATACAAAATGAAATAACAAAGAAATAAAAACATATTTGTACTTATTAAGAATATTTCTCTGCCAAAACTATAAATCCCTCAAACTAACAATTAAGTAAACTACACACAACTATCTACTCACTATTGCCTACACAGGCAATCAGGGGAAGGGGAGAAGTGAGATTTGTCATACACTGATCCTCAATTTTCATTAGATACCTAAACATCCATGCAAAGGACTAGGTACAAAAATACTAACAGAAAAGCATCTATATACATTTTTTAAAAAGTATATACCCTGCTCTTTTCTCCTAACCACTAACAACCCAAATAAAAAACCTCAAAAAACAAAAACCCCAAATTATTATAAAACTATTGCCCATGCAGGCAATGAGGGAAGGGGAGAAGAGGAGATTTATCATACATCTGGACCTCCATGTTTTATTAATGTATCTGTAAGTCCCAGCAAAGGACTGGGTACTGGATATAGTAACACACAAAATGTAGCAAACCCTTATGTACATTTAAAAAGAACATATACCCCTCCAACCCTGCAAAATAGAACCAAACATCTATTCTTCTGCCATTGCCCACCAGGCAATGAGGCACAGGGAAAAGGGGAGATTTTTCATAGAATCCATCTCAACTTTCATTAAGTACCTAAACAGTCATGCAAAGGACTAGATTCAAAATGAAGTTAACACCAAAAGGGGCAAACACATATATAGTTTAAAAAAAAAAAAAGATATCCTGCCCATTCCCTAATAAAAGCCTAAAAAATAAACAAACAAGCCAGCCTTAAAGTACTCTTAAACTATTGCCCATTTACACAGGCTATAGGGGAAAGGAGAAAAGATTTTTTACACCTCTGGATCTGGGCCTCTAAGTTTCATTTTACACCCACAAGTCCAAAAACTAAACACTGGGTTTGGACTGAAAGAAAAACAACAACACAAAAAGCAAACATTTATATACATTAAAAAAAATACAAACCCAGAAATCACCCTGCCCTGCAAAAAAAACAAAACAAAAAGCCCTACTCTACTAGCCATTGCCCAGACAGGCAATCAGGGAAGGGGAAGCGGAGGCTTTTTTTTTCATAGAATGAACCTCTATTTTCATTATATACCTAAGTATCCATGGAAAGATCTAGGTACAAAATGAAGCACAGAAAAAATGAACAAAAATATATTTATATACACATTTTTTAAAGTACATACTCCCAACCCTCTCCGGGGTGGTGGTAGAGTAACAAAAGTAACCTATACTACTCTAAAACTATTGCCCACACAGGCAATAAGGGAAGGGGAGAAGAGGAGATTTTCATACATCTGGAACTCCATGTTTTATCAGGTACCCACCTACATGTCCAAGCAAAGGACTAGGTACTAAATGAAACAACATAATATAGTAAGAAAAATTATATATACATTTGTAAAAAGTATATGTCCCATTCTTAGTCCCTCCCCATCCCCCCAAAAAGAAATCTTCAAAAAACCCAAACTACTTTAAAATTATTGCCTATATAGATACAAAGGGAAAGGGAGAAGAGGAGATTGTTATACATCCAGAACTCCATGGTTCATTAGCAACCTACAGTCCAAATGAAGGACTGGGAACCCAATGAAATAATATAAAAAAGAAGTAAAAACATGTACAGACGTTTACAAAAGTATATACCCTGATCTCATCCCTCTCTCCAGTACCCCACCTCCAAAAGAAAAAAACCCCTGAAACTAATGAACTACTCTACTAGCCATTGCCACACAAGCAATAAAGGAAGGGAAGAGGAGGAGATTTGTCATAGACTGAATCTCGATTTTCTTTATATATTTTAACATCCATGTAAAGGAAAAAAATGAAGTAACAGAAAAATAGCAAAGATATATATATATGTATATGCATATATGTGTAAAGATATAGATATATTAAAGTACATACCCTTGCCCTGAAATTCCTCCCTCCTCCCCTTGGCAAAAGTCTTTTAAAAAAACCCAGAATACTCTAAAATGATTGCCTGCACAGGCAATAAGGGAAAGGGAGAAGAGGAGACTGTTATACATCCGGAACTCCATAGTTCATTAGGTACCATCTGGTCAAAGAGAAAGACTGGGAACTCAATGAAACAATACAATATAGTAGTAAAAACACGTATATACATTAAGTACACACCCCTGCCCCCGCCCCCAAACAAAAAATCCAGCAACTACTCTATTAGCTATTGCCCGCCCACACAGGCAGTAAGGGAAGGGAGAAGAGGAGATTGTTATACATCCGGACCTCCACGTTTCATTAGGTACTTCTCCATCCATGAGACGGACACAGTACGAAATGAGACAGTAATACAATATAGTAGCAAATATATTTGTGTACACTAAGTTCATACTTTACATGCCCCACTCTCCCCCACACCTCAAAATAAAACAAACTACTCTATTAGCTATTGCCCAAAAGGGCAATAAGGAAAAGGGAAAGAGGAGATTTGTCATACTCTGAACCTCAGTTTTCATTATATATGTATTCACACAAAGAAGTATAAATGAAATATAAAAAAGTAGCAAAACATTTATATACACTTAAAAGAATGATATACAATACCCATCCCTCCAAGATTAGATCAAGAGACTAGAAACTACTCTATCGTTATTGTCTACACAAGCAGTAAGACGAGGAGTAAATCCAACACTTGTCATACTTCGGGACCTCCACAGTTCACTAGGTAACTACCTGCCCACAAGAAGGATGAACAAAGAACAAAATGAAGTAGCATCCACAAAATAGCAGCAAAAATATTTGCATACATTTTAAAAAGAAAAGATCCTGCTCTCCTCCCAACATCATCACCTCCTTACAAAAGAGGAAACCAAGTAACTATACTCTGTCAGTTGTTGTCCACAGAGGGCAAAAACAGGGACAGGGAAGAAGAGACTTTCATAGCACAACATCTTACTTCTCATCAGGACAAACTATACAAAATGAAGAACATAAAAAAGTATCAAACGTGTACATTTTTAAAGTATATGCCTCCAAAACCAGTGAAAGAAATCAATCAACTAATTATGCAGGCAATCAGGGAAAGAGAGGAGAGGAGATATATCATACTTTTGGACCTCTACTTCTCATTTGGTACTTACTTGCCCATGCAGAGAAAGATGTACAAAATGAAAGAATGCAAAAACCAGCAAAAGTATTTATATATGTTAATTTTCTAAAGTACAAATGGGGTAGTGAGGGGGAGCGCTATAAGAAGAGAGTAAATTCCAATAAAAACATAAGCAACAAAGGCAAAGGGAAGAAGAGCTACATCGTACTTACGACCTCAATTCTTAGTTATGTCTATGTAACAAAATTCAGCTCTAGTTTTGCAAACTTAGCCTGGGGACTTCTGTCCTTTGTGATGACACATCTTGATATGCATACACCTTCCCTGCAGCCCCATGAAATGCGTGGGAATTACATGAACGTTCTGCAATCTGGCTGCAGATTATAGCTCCAGGTGCCTTAGTCTGAACAGACTCCTTCAAATCCAATTTAAGAACAGGCTATCAGTAATCCAACAAACGTAGCACTTAACTTTCTCACTTCCTGATATTCAGAAAGGATTCTGTTCTGTAACTAACAACGCTGATGTAGCTCTGTCCCCTCTAGATACCCAGCACTCATCTGACAGCTCTTTTGCTACTACAGTGACTAAAGTACAATAAAATAGATGCTTATGCAAAGAAATTAGAGGTTAAGTATAACCTGTGACAGTAAGAAAGGTTTTCACAAACACCACAACAATGACAAATGACACAATTTCATTTAAAAAGACTTATACAGAACTACAAGATGGAGGAAGGTACCAACTTACGGTGGGAGCTAATACCACTTGCAGTTTAATATATCTATCTAATCATTTGATATTAACAGAACATACTAGACTCCTTAGATTTCTACTTTAATAACCTTTCAGATCTCCAAAGCAAACATTTTTCTTCCATAATTTCCAAATTTATCTATCTTTACTAATAATTTAGTATGATGTGCCTTTTTTTAATTACATTCAAGTGGACAGTCTCTCAGTAATGAAAGCAAATAATACTTGTCAAACAAGTACTTAATTCTGTCATGGATCTATGTGCTTATATAAGAAAGCATACTTTGACTTCTGTGCTTCAATCTATTTGAGTTCTCAGAAATATAATGGCTAAGATAAAGTTTTTGGGGAAAAAAACCTTTGAAAGCTGTACTTACACTTCTTATACTACACATTCTACCTATTATTTAACCTCATATTTTTGGTTTAGAGTTAGTTTTTAGAAGTCCCATATGGATGGGCTAGCATAACATTAAAAATTATGGAATTCTGTAGGAAAAATTCAGGTGATGCCTACAAGACTGCTAATAATGTAGATATTATGGTTCTGGTATCACAGGAATGGACAGCCTTTGAGTACCAAGACAGCAATGGATTATGAGTTACTGCTTTTTTCAGCCCATGTTTTGATAAGGTTTTACTTACAACAATACTTCCCACACCATACACACATGAAAAAAACTGATCGAATTCAAGACAAGATTTGCCATATGCAGAGTTAACATATATTACAGAAGCAATGTCAAGCTGGGCAGGTAAATTGAAGAATCATAACTGATTTTTGAGAAGTAACAAAATTATACTCTGTATCAAAGTGGAATTTAGTAATGCGACATGGTAAAAAACCAGCAATAACAACAAAACCCTCCACAAGTTTTGTATTTTCCCCACTCTAAATTACAAAAACACAGTAACTTTCAATATCAACTAAATTATCATTCATTTACTGAAGTACAAGAGGAGTAGAGACCTACAATCACCCAAGTTTTAATAAGACATCTTTCGATGATTCAGAATATATTTTCTACTCTAAAACAGAAAGATAAATGTTTAGAAAAAACTAAATTGGGGGAAAACACACTAGGATTAAAGACAACTATTTTTTAGTTTGCCAGCCTTTTAAATTTTGTATTATAAAAATATTTTTCATAAAATAAATATAATTTTATACACAATCTCACATATTCTAGCTTCACACCTGAATAAAAAAAAGGTGACCTTTCCCCATTGTCTGACTCTGTGGAGTGTTTTAAGTGCTCAGAAATGGGTAACTACCCTTTTTATGTACATAGAAGCTGTTTTCAAACAAAATATAAACAACTCAAGAGTTATTAGGAAGCAAGCTTTTCTCCTAAGAATCAAAGAAACACAACAATCTAGGTATAAGTCTGCATAGCTCAAAAAATTCAAGTACAGTATTTCTCCTTTAGGAATAAAAATGCCATACAGTTTTGGGTATCCTTCCTCATTTTTCTTTCTTTCTTTGGCCATTTCTTTAAATGTTAGTTTGGCCACAATAAAAGAAAAACTGTGATTATCAATAAAGAAAAGTACTGTTTCTGATACTGGAAAAAATTCAAAGCCCACCATATCAAACCTGAATTCAAGATACTCTTATACCACATTTTCCTCACTTCTATTTAAGGTACTATGGTGAACTTCAAATAAAAATGTTCAGTTTCTCAAAGGCCCTATTTTAAAATATGCTTCTGATATGCTACTCTATTATACAAAATGAAAATGCACACAAAGGTATGATTCAGAGACAAAGAATCTATGATTTATCATGCCAAAAGATAAACTATATTCTTATTAATAATGATAAAAGTCACAACGAAGGACACCAGTGTTAACAAAATGCTTGTCACAAATGTACAAATATTCATCTATAACATAAGGTATGTCTATGTCACGGAGTGATAAAGGTGTACAGATGTGGGGAATACCCGCATCCGTGAATAAAAATTATAATTAAAACTAACTCACTTTGGAGCAGTTTCCTATGGTAATGCTATAAAACGTTAAAAGAAAGTGTTAAGTACTTGGAAAATTTAATCTTTTGGCCTTGTGATTTAGCTTTTCAATACAACAAAAATTGAAAACTTCTGTAGCACCTGGCTATTCTGCAGAAAAAAATACAATAGCTATAGATCTTATTTAAACTTTTTCCAGAAAACAAAGGACTAATCAAAACCCCAAATCAAAGGAGATCTGTACACCTGAGATCTGGTCTCTACAGCTGCATGCTTCATCATCTCCATTACTATCTGACGCTAACTGTGTACACATGAAGCAACAAATGGCTGACAAACCCGCAGCCTGCAAAGATGGTGGCTCGTATGGTAGACCTTTCCTTGTTTCACTGTGTCAGTACTTTCTGGTTTTGAGAAATAGAACGGAATTTCAAAACAGATTTTTTTCCCCCATTTCTATAGCTTCAAAGTAGAAAAATTACTCACTGTTTTTGTAGAAGATTGGCATATAGGTGAATACAATTCTGTAATAAATAACTACGTACTGCCCAAAGACACTCAGAAAAGACAGATGAAAAATACAGATGTGCCCTGAGCTAACTAGAACTCCTAAGGGTGAGAACAACTCAGCAGTGATCCTGACTTCACCCTGGCTTTTGCAAAAGCAGCAGAGCCCCAAGTTTACAAACTCTCTGAATGGGCGACAAAATGAGGTGCGGTTGTGCGTGCTATAGCCACGATGTCAGAGATTTTAAGTTTTTTTCCATCCACTGGATATTGAGCTGAATGACTTCCAAAGCCTCCTGGACACAACGAAGCCGAAATGTTGCCTCTGACTCATTTTCAAAGAATGCCCGGACCTGTAAGTTCCACACAGAAATATTTCAAAAGAAGACAAGGACAGTAAATGTCAGTTGACTCTGAATATCCTTTTCAAATAAGCTTTAACTTTAAAAAGAATGTGAAGTTCTTTTTAAAATGAATTCCCCTTATTCTCACAAGGATGAATTTGTAAAATTTAAAATAGGAAAAAAGAGGTCCAAATAACAGTAAATGAGGTAGAGTCTAAAGTTAGGCGTGGTGCTAAAAATTCACCCCTGAAACAATTCTTCAAAACAATATTATTACTACTTAAAAAAGTATGTGGTCTTAATTTAAAAAATTATTTGTATCAGAAATATTGTTGAGAACAGAATTGGAATTTTTCCTCATTGCCATACATTCCACCCTTTGTAAGTAAATCTTAGCGATGATGAAGGCAGACAGAAGGGACAGGGATTGGCATGAGAAGCCACTATCTCGCTTAAACTGAGCAAGCCTGAGGAGAAAAGGTTATCCAGCCTCCGTACCAGCATTTTACACCACTAACCTCAGACAAATGTGCCTTTGTTGAAAACAGGTGAGCTGATCCAGCAACAATACTTTGTATGGTATAGGACCCCAGATGAAACCTGGAGAAACACGAACACAAGAACAAAAAGAAAAAGAAAAAGAAATGAGGCAGCTGCCGGTCAGCAAACCATTGTTCCTCAGTGTAAAGGAAATGCTTTAATGTAAGATCTACATGCCAAAGGCAGAGTGGAGTCCTGATCCTGGGAACTCAGTAAATTAGGAGCAGTCCTTTATACACTTACTTCCAGTGGGAAGGACAAGGGGGACAAAAGGGAAGAGTTAGGGGATATCCTGATAAATTATCAATTCATTTAATCTACTAAAAACTCGTATCATACTCTAAGAAGTATCATTCTCACTTTCAAAAAAGAAAGAAAGAAAAAAGAAAACCTAAATGTGCTAGGTGTGAGTTCTTAACTCATCCCTTGCCAGTGAAGAGGTATTTTTCAACCCGCGTAACTAAACAGCTATTCTGAAACAGTCCGTGGCCATGCTGCACTAAGTGACCTGACATCAGGCATGGCTGGGTGTGATTAGTACTCAAATGGAACACCACTGTTAAATGGAGCACATTAGGAAATTATGTTTACAAATGTAAAATTTGTAAATGTGGGGGTCTTTCAGTTTAACTTCCAAGGAAGCATTTCCTTTCACAGTAAATCATGACTCCTGTGAACCAACACAACACTGGGGGCCTTTTTCAAATGCAGAACTTGAGAATACTAACAGCAATTCTCTGAGAAACTTACTTCTGTACAAGCTTATTCCAGTTCTCTTTGACAAAATCCCATGCCAGTAAGTGTCCAGGAAAATGTCGGCCCACTGTTCTAATGATGAACGACAGCTTTTGTGTTCGGATGGTATCTCCATTGAGGCTACTTTTCATTAACCTGAAGAGAACAGCAGATTTAACCTCCAAAACGATTATTCAGGATAAAGTAATGACTGAACTGAAATTAGTATTAGTCTAACTAAAGTTCTGTAGTTCTGGATTAGTCTTAAGATAGATCCATAGGTTGAAAACTTGTCATTTTTTTTAAATGAAGGAAGAACTCACCAATGAGATAGGTATTTACAAATACTGTCATATAATAACAGTTATTGATACAGTGAAGACATATAGAAAATAAACTCTGGTAGAATTTATTATAATTCTGTAGATTTTTTTTTCCCCTTGGTAAAAACCTTATTTAAGTAGACAGGTATGTTACTACTCTTAAAAAACTGGGCTGTTTGAATAAATGCTAAATAAAGCCTGACGTTTGAACGTAAGCAGTTCTCACCTTCTATGCTGTATTATCTGTTTATAGTGAGAAAACACACACTCTCCAAAAATGCAGTATTTTAACAGGAGAAAAAAACTCCAATGTCCATCAAGATGTGATGAGTTAAGAAAATTATGAAAGAGCCATACTATGGAATACTATGTAGCCATAAAAACAAATGAAGTAGGCTTTGGGAAATGACGTGGAAAACTCTAAGCCTGATTATTTGCTAAAAAGAATCATGTCACAAAACACGGGGTAGAATAAATCTATGTCTAATAAAATATGGCTATGTATTTGGAACACCATCCTTCCTAGGTAAATACACAGACCAGAGAAGAGTGGATAAGAATGGAAGTGAAGGATCATAAGAGACACTTTTTATTCCAGATTCTTATGGATTGAATACATTATAATGGGAATTTATTAATGTACTGTTAGTGCAGTTTAAAAACAAAACAAAAATTCCATTTGCTTGGGTCAGAGGTTGGCTACTACTTTAAAGAAAATGCCTTTGGAAAGTGGGTCTGGGCAGGTGCTGAAGACATCTTTGGGACACTATTAGGATTTACCTGAGCAACATTATACAAAAGAAACAATCAGACCCAGGTGCCTCCCTCCATCCTTCTCAGTGTGACTCTCCACTCGGTGTCCTAAATGGCAGGAAGCAAGCACCTTCACATTTATCTTGACTACCTACAGCGCTGCTACCCCACTTTCACCTGTTCTTCCTGTCAAGAGGCCCTACTTACTGCTCTTCTTCTCATATTTGAAACTACCATTCCCAAGCCTTCATCAACTGGATATTAAAAAGGAAAAGCATGACAAATTCACACGAAGGTATACATGTTATCCTTTTCTGAAGTGTCTGTATTTTTTAAGTTACAGCTTAGACAGAGCAATGCCTTGACCCCAAAAGAATGAAGCACTAACTGTGGAATTTAAGGCAACATGCCAAAGAGATGGAGAAGGATCTGAGCAGGGAGTAGGAGGGGGCTGTGATTCCTGGCATCTCCCCATCTCTCTTGGGCAAAGCATATTTTGCAAATCTGTGAAGGATCAATCCCTGAAATGAAGCTGAGCATGTGCAGGTGCCTCCCCACACTGTCCAAGTCAGGTCTAACTTATTAGTAAAGAGAGTAAAAGATCCCAAAGTAAACTGGCTTCCCATTCTAGGAGCACAATGCTTTTATGCTTCTGGTTTCTATATGTCATATTCCTTGGGCGGTTTCATACCAGTAAAGCTTCCGTACATCCTCTGAGCTGGCAAGAGCTTCAAGTATTTTATTCTTCTCTGCTTCAGAGCCTATAGTGACGTACTTGCTTAGAAGGAATAACCAGCCTTTTTCAGTTTTTGCTCCAACTTTAAACACAGAAGTCATGACATCAGTAGGTAGGCTGTAAGAGAGGTGGTCACACATAAGGACAAGAAGAAAGAATCCTGAGCACAAAAGCAAAGGAATTAACTAGTGGTTCTGGGGTCAGGGCAGGTAACAATTAGATGAGTCTTTACTGCACAACCTAAGTTGTGAGAAAGGAAAAGGTTAATTTAATGGCTGCTACTTTCCTAGTGGTGTGACTATGAAGAACATCAATTCAATTTAATACAATAATTTATTCATTAAGCATGTACAAAAACCAGACGGGCAACTGGCTGGATGCTGGAGACAAGAAGAGGAATGAGACACAGTCCCTGCCCTCTAGGAACTCACAGGCTATCACAAAGTACAGAACAATAAAATATATATATTATAGTACAGTGTGGTAAGTTCCATGGTAGAAATATGGCAGCAAATATGGAGGGCAGTAAGGGGTAAGACCAGGGGAAGAAGCACAATCAAACTATTTTATCAAAATCTCAGAGATGGGGGCGGCGGGGGGCGGGGGGGAGGGACTGTTGCCACTGAGCTAATTCTGACACATGGTGACCCCATGTGTGTCAGAGTAGAGCTGTGCTCATAAGGTTTTCAATGGCTGATTTTTCAGAAGTAGATCACCAGGGCTTTCTTCTCAGGTGCCTCTGGGTGGACTTGGGCCTCCAACCTTTTGGTTAGCACCCAAGTGCATTAACCATTTGCACCAGCCAGGGAGGGACCTTAAAGGTTGTCACCCAATCTCCCAACCCAATTCTTCATCTGATACTTGAGTCTTCTTCCATCATATCCAATAAGGAACCTGGAGAGAACCAATCATCGCCAAAAGCATTTCTACCAACTGCTAATTCCTCACTTACTATGTGTTAGTCCTAAATTTAAAGAGACTTGTTTGAGAACAAAGATGCATAAAATTTACCTCCAGTAAAACTCACAGTTTTATAGCATTTATGATCCAGGAAAAAAATATCATGGTTTTGGGATATGATGTGAGGTAGTGAAGAGGAAGAGTTCATTTGAGCAGAAGTACACTTTACCTTTGAGTTCCATTGGATGCCATCCAATCGTCAAAGAGTTTCATGGCAACAGTGCTGTAGTTCTCCAAGCTGTGGGTACAAGCAAATTCTAGCAAGAGTGACCGAAGCTCTCGCATAGACGGGGTGCCCTTATCAGTCCAGGTTTGTTGCTGGATTTGGTTTTGAAGCAATTTAAATACTCTGGTCTAGAGAGACAAAATAGATTATAATGGAGTAATAATTAGGACAGTCAGAAAAATCAGGACAACCAAATTTATTTCTCCCATCATTTACCCAAGGAGGGGAAAAAAAAAAGGAATACACACTACTCATTAAATATCAACTGACATATGAAGCCCACATACAGTTGAGATGAAACCATTCAATAACAAAGGCAAAACATAAGGCTGCTATAGACAGCAAGGACTTTTGATGATATAACACAGAAAGAATGAATGACTTCTGTGCAGTAGGGAACTTTTATTCTGTGTGTACTCAGAAATAATTTTCCTGCCCAAAATAATCACCTATAACACCACTGCTGGAAGGAAGTTGGTACTTCCTGACCCTCAGACTTTAGAATCCATAAATTCATAAGGCAATGAGAGAATAGTATACTTTTTTGCTGATCACTGAATGTTTAAATACTTCTGGATCCAATATTAAAAGTATATTTAATGTATTAACTAGTTTGATATTATAACAAGTTAATCTAACCAAATTAACAAGAAAATGAAGTCTGCAGGACTGAATAGTTGTTTATAGTTATTTTTTTCTCCCTCCAACTTTTTATTCAAAAAAATTCAAACCTACAGAAGAGATGCAAGAATAGTAGAATGAACACCATATGCTGTTCTTCCAGATTCACAGGTTTTTATCACTCTTCCATTTGCTTTGTCCCCATATGTAGGTGTAAAACACATACACATGCACTTTGTTTTTTCTGGTTTTAGCGGAATCATATGGAAGTAAGTTACAGGCATCATGATATTTCGTTCCAAATACTGTAGCATGCAACTCCCAGAAATAACTACATTTTCCTACATAGCCATAATACCTTATCACAATTAACAGTCAATCACTAATATCTTCTACTATCCAGCCCATGATTATAGTTACTTCTGAATGAGATATCATTGCTAACTGTATACGTGCAGTATTAAGGAACTGATGGATCTCTTACTTCTTTTATGTCTCTGTCCGTAACAAAAGCCTAAAAGCTGTTCATAGTATATGAAGTATTGCCATATTACAAGCCACTGTGCATGGGGAGGGATATGGACACATGGAATTTAAAAAAATCATATGAAATAGACATTTATGAATACTACTGGAAGGATCAAATATTCCCATATAAAAAGTGTTTGTAGATGTTTAAAAAAATAACCCTCAAGGCTATACGTAAGGAGGATCAAAATGAAAAACTTCACAGGCAGCCTCCCCAGTTCTCAGGGCCTCAGCACAGGGCAATTTCCTTCCACTGGTACTTCTTTAACATCACCACCATGACCATGTCTCATTTCAAGTTATCAAGTATCATAGATGACCAGAAGCAAAAATTCTGAACCCCAGAAAATTGGTTCAAGCTCTTTCCAGAGCATTAGCTTCTTCCTGAGTACTAGTGTCAATACCTAAAATGAATCAGAAACTTTTTAAACTGCTGAGGCCATTTTATCAGCAGATCTTCTCTGAGTAAGTCTCTTGTGGTCCTGAATATGAGATGAAAAAAAGAATACGTGCAAGAAGGACTCAAAGTTTGTGGTAAGATGTCAACTCACTTGTGTGTGTTTCAAAAGCAGTGAAATGGGAGAGAACAGACACCCTGCGGAATGTGTGAGTGGTAAAGCCACAAGTCATTGGGAGGCTATGAAGTGGAAAAGTACTTGCCATGCTGACTGATAATGCAAGGAACATAAAAGCACCGAGGAGATGCTATTGGACACACAAGACTGAACCAGTACATGCTGTCTTCCACGGGCCTGACCTTCTCAATGGCATCACAATAGTGAACTGTCCCAAATGACTGAAGAATAAAAGACATTTAAAACCTACTTATAGCTGCCAACATCAAATAGAAACAAAGGATGAATGGGAAAAAAAAAGTTACATGCTTTAAAATCTTACTTAAAAAAAAAAAAAAAAAAACCTCAATGTGAAAAATGACAATGCTCTTTGAGAGTGTATTAAAACACAAAGAAGCCAGTGAAAAAATGGCACTTCAAAGTACTAGAAGCAAAGAAACATTTGAAAATACTAATGCTAATTCCTGAAAAGTTATTCCATTAGACATACAGGATGCAATTTTGCTAGTTATTCTCTGTAACAAATCATTAAGAGAAATTACTAAAGTAGTTTATTGTAAATATATTTTAAATGATAAGATAATAAATTAGAATGAAAGTTCTATTAAGACAAAAAAGAGTAACTTGCTTTTATAAAAGTCCTGCTGCTATAAAAGATGATCATTTTCATAGGTAATCCAGGTTATATTTTTAATATTAATAAACCACAGCAAGTACTTCAAATTACCTTCCCCTTTTAGAAAGAAAATGATATCTGTTCTTCCATGGTTCCAAATCAAGTTTTTTGAAATTTAAACTTAAACAATAGAATCCAACCCTCTGATTTCAAAAAGTGAAAATGACAAGTGGGGAGAGGGAATAACTTGATACAAGCCACAAACATTGGATATGCAATAAAACGCAATAACAATGACACAAAATGATTTTAAAAATAAAATAGGGAAAGATGCTGGCAATTAATGTACTACATTTTGAATTAGTGCTTTGATTTCATACTGATATGCCCCGGGAGTACTGGGTCAATTGAGTTTCTTAAAAGTGAAATGTCAGCTTTGATTGCAAAAGGTCTTTCCCACCAATCCCTCATATGTAAAAGAATGACAGATTTTAAGTGAGGAAACAGGAATATGGTTGGGATCAGTTGTTAACATCACATGTGGACAATTTAAAACAATTCAAACGTGCATGTATACTGCATCCACCATAGTGCCACAGCATACGTCAAAAAACGGTCACTAAATGTACACAGTGCTCTGGTAATCATGACATAAAAATTAACTAGACACTAATCTTAAACACTAATATTATTTGAACATTGAATTCAAGGATCTAAAAATGCCTGCCATCCCAACCCCTAACTACAGTGTGTCAGATTTCATATTTTGAGTTTTGCTGCTACCAGAATACCCTTGAGATTAAAGTAAGCGTTTTAAAGTATAGTTTCTCCCTTTTGATAAACTAAGGCTAACCTGACTTTTAACTAACAATCGAGTCTATTAAGACCTACAGCAGTAAAAGGGCCCCTCGTCTTAGAAACAGATACTATGCCTCCTGCCTTTCCCTCCATCCCTCAGTGCCCTGGACCCTGAATAAACACAACCTGCCCAAGAACCGGAGATCATCTAAGATGAAGATGCTGACAAAAACAACTACTGAATCTTACAGTAGAAAAATATTCAAAAGATCCAACTCCTTGATCTGCTCTTTAGCATCTGTGTTCAGCACAGGGATAGCCTAACGTTAAGTGCTTCCTCAGAACTAGGTCCTACATATAGCTGACGGGAAGAAGTGGGGAGAAAAGTGCCTTCTGCCACCAGGAAATTTGACTAGCTAGGTAGCTTCAGAAAAGGCAGATATTCAGCCTCTTCTTAGGATATATTCAGTCTCAACAATATCCTTGAATAGTGAGAAAAACTGAGGATTATGTACTCACAAATCTTATTTATTGTTACCCTACATGGTACTGATTTGTTACAGTACTAATCACTTTCAAAGTATTCTATAATAAAAAATATATGTAAACACTGTAGTACAGTGGTGTTGGGCCAATTGGACACCCATATTGAAAAAAGTAAATCTTGGTTTCCACCTCACACCATACACAAAAATCAAACCCAGATGGATTGTAAATCTAAATGTGAAAGGTAAAATAAAGTTTTCATAAGAAAACACAAAAGAATATCTTGGAGGAGGCAAATATTTGATGAAAAAACTAAAATAAAATTATGAATTTATGTTAATAAAAAAACACCATTAAGAGAGTAGAAAGACAAGTGAGAATGGGAGAAGATATTTATAAATATACATGATCAACATGGGATTCATATTTAGAATATACAAAGAACTCATATATTCCAAAAGAAAAAATAAATGGAAGACTTGGGCACTCCACAAAAGAAAACATCCAAACAGCCAATAAACATATAAAAAGGAATTCATTCTTATTAGTCATTATGGAAATGAAAATTAAAGCTAAAATTGCAATACTACCATGCACCCATTAGAATGGCTAACATGAAAAAGATTTATTACTAATCCTAAGTGTTGGCAAGGATATGGAGCCACTAAAATTTTTATACACTGCTGGCAGGAGTGTAAACTGGTACAACTTTGAAAAACTGTTTGGCAGTACCATATTAACTATACATACTTTATGACTCAGCAATTCCACTATAGGGCATATACCCCACAGAAATGTATGCAAATGTTCCCTAAAGATAGGTATAAGAATATCAAGAGTAGTGCTATTCCTAACAGCCCCAAACTGCAAACAATCCAAAGGGGTATCTTCCACAGTAACCTCCAACTGGCTATAAAGGGTCAATATCTTTACTATACTAGCAGTAGAAAGTCTGTGTTGGATCTAAGTTTGCCCTAAAGAGACCAGTAAGTTATTCGCATGCTTCTTTGAAATGTGCATAAATATTGTAAAAAATGACTGTTATTTTGGGGAAGCCAAGCACAATGTTACAAGGCAAGGTCATGAAAGCTCCATAGACACATCCAAACTGCCTGAGGGACCGAATTACTGGGCTGAGGGCTGTGGGGACTATGGTCTCGGGGAACATCTAGCTCAACTGACACAACACAGTTTATAAAGAAAATGTTCTACAATCTATTTTGGTGAGTAGTGTCTGTGGTCTTAAAAGCCTGTGAGCAGCTATCTAAGATACTCCACTGGTCTCACCCCTTCGGGAGCAAGGGGTAATGAAGAAAACTAAAGACAAAACAGAAAGATTAGTCCAAAGGACTAACAGACCACGACTACCACAGCCTCCACCAGATGAGTCCAGCACAACTAGATGGTGCCCAGCTACCACCACTGACTGCTCTGACAGGGATCATAATAGAGGGTGCTAGACAGAGCTGGAGAAAAATATAGAACAAAATTCCAACTCACAAAAAAAGACCAGACTTACTGGCCTGACAGAGACTGGAGAAACCCCGAGAATATGGTCCCCATGCACCCTTTTAGCTTAGTAATGAAGTCACTCCTGAGATTCACCCTTCAGCCAAAGATCAGACAGGCCCATAAAACAAAACGGGACTGCCATGGTTTGAATTATGTCCCCCCAAAAATATGTGTATCAATTTGGCTAGGCCATGATTCCTGGTACTGTGATTTTCCCGTAGGTTGTAAACCTGCCTCTAGGATGTTAATGAGGGAGGATGGGTGGCAATTGTGTTAGTAAGGCAGGACCTCATCTACAAGACTGGATTGTGTCCTGAGGCAATCTCTTAAGATATAAAAGACAGACGTGAGCAGTGAAGACAGGGGGACCTCATACCATCAAGAAAGCAGTGCCGGGAGCAGAGCGCGTCCTTTGGACCGGGGTCCCTGCGCAGAGAAGCTCCTATTCCAGGGGAACACTGAAGGGAAGAAGGCCGACAGAGAGAAAAAGCCTTCCCCTGGAGCTGATGCCCTGAATTTGGACTTTTAACCTACTTTGACTATGCGGTAATAAACTTCTCTTCATTAAAACCATCCACTGGTGCTATTTCTGTTGTAGCAGCACTAGATGACTAAGACAGGGACTAAAGGGGCACACCAGCCCAGGGGCAAGGACTAGAAGGCCGGAGACAGGAAAGCTGGTAATAGGGAACCTAAGGTCGAGAAGGACAGTGTTGACATGTCGTGGGGTTGTTAACCAATGTCATAAGACAATATGTGTACCAACTATTTAATGAAAAGCTAGTTTATTCTGTAAACCTTCATCTAAAGTACAATTAAAAAAAAAGAAAGAAAAAATTACTGTTATTAGCATTTTGGATATAAAAGAAATCACATTAAATGGTAAACTGACTACTTTATTTTCAAGACAGCAATTAGTTATTGGGTCTGCCATTTTAAACCTTAAATGGAAGGTCTCAAGCTTTTCAAAATTTTAATTTAAAATCTTAGTTTAAAAAAAAAATAGCAAGAAAGAAATAGCTTTAGTTTTTCCAATAAGAAGGTATCCTTTGAAAGATGTCATTGCTAGAACACAAATTAATTTAAAATACAGTGATATAACACAAAGATCAGGCTAATCTGGGTTTGAATCAAAGCTTTAAAACATACTAGGTAAGGGACTCTGGGTAAGTTATTTAGTCTCTTCATTTAGCTAATGGGGTAGAAATACCTATCTGTTGGCATCACGTGAGCATTAAAGAAGGTAATGCACATAAAACACTGAGCATGGGGTCTAGAATATAATAAACACTCAAGTGCACTCGTTTCTACTGTGGTTCGTTCATTTATTCATTTAATAAACATTTACTGAGTGTCATTATGGGCCAGATCATCTTCTAGGCACTGGTTTTTATTAAGGCTGGTAGTTGAAAGCTTTATGGCCTGGTTTTGAGAAAAATCTTAACCATCAGAAGAGACCTCAGAAATCATCTAACCCAAGATTATGGATAAGGATGGGAGAGGCTCCTTTGGGGATCAGATCAGAAATTTGCAGGGAGTGAGGAGGCGGGTGCTTTTCAAGCTCCATGTGGCCTCACTGAGACTCACGCACGCGATGAGAGCTCACCACAGGGGATGTGTGGAGAGCAGTAACAGAAGCAGAAAGAAGGCTGTTATAAACAATTACTTAATCCAGCCTCTCATTATTTTACCAGCGAGGAAACGAAAACCCCAGAAGACTAACTCTAATTTCTGGTCTAATACTTTCTTCTGTTTCCTAAAAGCTACCTTTTGCCTGGGTCGCTGGAACACCTAACTAATTTATAAAGCAAACTTTGTTGTCAGACGTGCTGATTCAGAGAATTAGGTAAAAACAAAGAATTAATCACTCACTCCTAAGCTTTTAAAGATTTGGCCAGCAATGTAATATTGAAAGTGTCTAAAATAACAACTCTTATGATCAAGCAATTGGTTTTAAGAAAGACAAAATCGTTGCCAATGCAAAGGCCCTTTAGTGCTTTGCAGTGAAACTTATATTCACTTTATCATTATCCAGAAGAGGTATAAGTAAAAATTCCTAAAACAGAATATTCTCAATATGAGGGTAAGTCAAAAACTATTGCTATTAGAGTTCCCGTTCATACGTGCACAGGTTTATTCCAAACAAACCATGTTTAAACATGTCCATGTGATCAGCGGAGGGCTGCAGACAACTTCTCTCAGTAATACACTTGTCTTAGTCTCACTAGGGTGCTTTCAAAAAAAGGATACTTTTTGTTCCACAGAAAAAAATGATTTTGAGGTCAGGGCTAATATCAAATTTTTAACAAAACTCAAGAGGACATCTTCCCAAATCACTGAAGCTTCACAGCAAGTTTATGGGCATGCCGCCCCACATAAAACAACAGTTTTTAGATGGATAAAGTGTTCTAAGGAAGGTCAGGAAGACCTCACAGATGAGCCAAGAGAGGGAAGATCGCTCAGAAGGTTATGATGACCGTTTTTTTGGGTTTTCAAAGGGGTAACCTTGACAGATTTTCTTGAAGGACACAGGACAATCACAGAGGCTTATTATGAAGTTTTAAGAAAACTGAAACTGCATTGGCGAGAAAAAGGCCAGGAAAGTTGAGTCGAGGAATTTTTTTCCATCACGACAATGTACCCGCTCATTCTTCAAGGGTAACAGGGGCTGTTCTATGAGAATTTTCTTGGGAAACCTTACCCCATCTATCCTACAGCCCTGATCTTGCCCCTTGAGATTTCTTTTTGTTCCAAAAACTCAAAGGACTCTTGAAATGAACATGATTTGAGTCCCTCAAGGATGCCAAAACTGCTGTTTTGACGTGGTGTAAATCGAAGAGCGCAAAATTCTTCAGGGAAGGGTTAGAGAGATGGAAACACTGCCTTCAGAAGTATACGGATGAAGATATGTTGAGAAATAATAACTTCACATTTTCATATTTTTGTTTAATAAAGATTTCTATCACTTTGGAGCAACACTTTTGACTTACCATTGTATATACATAACTGTCATTTTATAATGACTAATGGAAAAATAATGGGGAGATCTACTTTGCAAAAGAGCCAATTTCAAGCATCCACTGGGTAAAAATAAATCAGGATTTGAATAGAGGCATTTTCTTTTCATGTAACCTTGATTTGACAGCAGTGACAGAAGTCTGTATTTTGATATTCCAACAAGACCACATCATGCTAAGCCTTTACCAACTCTTCAGAGTATGCAAAGATATTTTGATCCAAAGTAAAGATTCCACAATTAGGAAAGTGGAAAAAGTTGAATTTAACTGGTTGATTTTTTCAGCCCATTACTGGTTGAATAGAAAACTATGCATAACAATATTAAAGTCAGGCAACAAAGAGAAGATGGCAGAAAGACAGACATACCACCAGTCTTGAGGCCAGATTCACATGTCCCAGTTTTTCAAGGAGGTTATAGATGAGGTCTGTCTGAAACAGGGCTTCAGTGATGGGTGCAGTGTGGTTCTCATTTCCAAGATAGTCAATCAAATCAAAGGCCCTCTGAAGAGGCACCTTGCCAATGCTAAAGAGTAAAAGAAGAGAAAAAGTAAATATGCAGAGATAGATGAATTCCATGCATGCTGAAAGAGAAACTTTAGCCATAGCGAATTTTAAAGACCTAATTTTTTTTTAAATTGTACTTTAGGTGAAGGTTTGCAGAACAAATAGTTTCTCATTAAACAGTCAGTACACGTTGTTTTATGACATTGGTTAACAACCCCACGACATGTCAACACTCTCCCTTCTCAACCATGGGGGACCTTTTCTGTTTTTTTTTGGTGAAAATACACATAGCCAAAGATACACCATTTCAAAAATTTCTACATGTATGATTCAGTGACACTGATTACATTCTTCCAGTTGTGCTGCTATTCTCACTATACTTTTCCAAATTATTCCATCACCATTGTCTTCAACTCACTGTCCCCTAGGCATCCCATCAAACCTTTTGAGTTGCTGTTGTCAATTTGATCTCACATAGATAATTCTTTTTTTTTTTTTACTTTAGATGAAGGTTTCCAGAACAAATAGTCTCTCATTAAACATTTAGTACACATATTGCCCTATGACAATGGTTAACAACCCCACGATATGTCAACGCTGTCCTTTCTCAACCTTGGGTTCCCTATCATCAGCTTTCCTGTCCCCTCCTGCCTTCTAGTCCCTGTCCCTGGACTGCTGTGCCTCATTAGTCCCATTTTGTTTTATGGGGTTGTCCAATCCCCAGCTGAACAGTGAACCTCGGGAGTGACTTCACCACTGAGCTAAAAGGGTATCCAGAGGCCATAATCTTGGGGTTTCTCCACTCTTTGTCAGGCCAGTAAGTCTAGCCCTTTTTTGTGAGTTAGAATTTTGTTCTACATCCTTCTCCAGCTCTGTCCAGGGCCCTCTGTTGTGATCCCGGTCAGAGCAGTCAGTGGT